ACATACTGCAGGTACACCATGTCTCCGCCTATGGATATCGGTCAGCATTGATGCTAGGCCTGAAGCTGCAATTATTCATACCACTTCGAGGGATGGACTGCTCAACTCCTTGAACTCTATAACGAGGGACGTTGAGGCCATACTCGATGTAGACGTGGGTACCGCAAAGGCAGTAGACTATACCAGCTAGCCAGAACAGCAAGGTCGCGCCGACACTACCAGTACCTTTCATGACTCTTTTCGGAGACATGAATATTCCCGTGCCTGTATCACGGCATTAACAGATGTCCCCTAAGCAACAAAGACAGCTTGACGCACCTATCATGCGGTTGATGACCAGACAGCATACATCAAGATATCCGAGGCGAAATCCTTCTTTGGGTGCGTGAGTGACGATGCCCTGGCCATCCCCGCCGGTGATTCCCGTTATCACCCCGGCAGCATCATCTTCGCTTGAGTTGTCGTCGATGTGACGAGGCTCCTGGAAGATGCCCTCTGAACTTTGAAAGTCATTCATCTTCGGAGGTCTGGCAAGCCAACGAGGCGACTCAGAGATATCGGAGACTCGCAGCAGCTCCAATATGGGGGAGTCTCGAGGTCTGCGCCATAATGGTACATGGCAAAGCAGGCTACAAGGGGTGGCTCCGATGTTAAGTATGGCCTATGTCTATCTACGAAAGCCTGTGTGACGAGCTGGCATGCAGGTCAGGCGTGACCAGGGAGCAGCTCGATGGCTGGGTCGCGCACCAAGAGCAAGCAGAATGGCACTGAAGGCAGGGCAGACTAGGCCAAGGATGTGGCAGCCGCATGCATGCATGCCCAGGAAAGCCGCTACATCAGGAAGGGCGTTCAAAGAGTCACTAAGTCCCCGGCAGCCTCGTCTTGAAATCTGCCTCGCGGAGCGAATATTGCCCGATTATGCTGCATGGGAAAAGGGTAGTCTTGGTGCGCTTGGTGCGGGAGCAAGAGAACATGCTTGCGCGCTTTCTGGGATTCAAACAGCGCTACCGAGGCTCTAGTTTCGGTAAGCAGATGCAGAGCTGAGCTCGATCTGGTGATGGCCCGGTCTCAGTGAACGAGAAGTTGATAGGTCTGCCGAAGCGAGCGCGAATAGGAAGAAGCCCCGGTAGACTGGTGGTGACAACCCGTCCGTATCGTACCCCAGACTGGAGCGTGAGAGCGGAATTGAGGGGAGAGCTCTGGCAGCTCACTGCCACCGCCACCAGCTCTTTCGTGACCGAGTTAAGTGCAGATCGGCGAACCCTTGGCAATATGCAGATATAACCTTGTATGTGCTACCAAAAAGGCATATGTATTAACACAGCTCACGAAGCGCTTGTCCCCGCTCTGTGTTCTATTCATTGCCATCATGTTGCCGTCTACAATTCGCTTGGCTTACGTTATTGTTCATCTGTTTTGTCCTCGACTCATAATCAGTTATGCGGAAGTTGTCATTCATGAACATTGGCATACAAGAAGACTTAGCCCGTGGAAGGCAAGTTTGCAACCTTTGTACATATTGAGTTAAAGCAAATAGCACTGTATCGCGTCAATTTGTTCTGAATATTAGGTATGACACAAGCTCATCCTGTCTCTCTCTACCTTATCTCAAGCTAGCAATCTTACGCCGCACACTCGCATACCACGGGAAAGGAGGGTGTGACAAGCTATCAACGCAGGTCAGATTGGATTGGATGCCTTCGTAAGGGTGTCTCGGGTAACTGAGACCGCGTGACAATCTACCAGCTACCCTTCACTGATTGAGCGCTAAAAGAACGCTTGTCTTCATCCCTGGCTGCCTTACGAGCAGGCGCCCAAAGCTGCGCTGGCAACATGGCTCGCTCAAGCTGGACTTTGAGCGCATTTACAGCTTCAACCAACTCAACATGTTCTCGGGCGAAACTCATGAAGTTCCCAAAGCCACCCTCTGCGCAAAGGCAGAGAACCTCGGCTTGCCAAGCCAGGAAGACAACCTCTTGAACCTGGCGCTCAGCACCGGGGACCGCTCAGAATGGTGCCCTCTGCCGCTTGACCTCCCACCAAGTTTGCAATCAAGCAAGCCAAGCCGGGCGTGATAGGTCGCTGAAGGAGACGCAGCCAGCCAGCATGAGATGTCTCGTTCCCCTGCTGCTGCCTGCATTGCTTCCCACACCATTCCGTCTCTCGGTATCAAATTCGAACTATCCAGCCCGCCGGACGCACTCGAGTTCCGTCCAAGTGGGCAAGCAAACAAGATGACCCAATCCCTCAGCCACACTCTCATCTCGTTCCTTCCCCCCCCNCCCCCCCCCCCCCCCCCCTCCCTTCTCATTCGGTGACCCAGCCAGAGTTCTTACCCCCTCGTCCAGTTCCGAGAACCAAGTCCTGGTCGCAAACTGCCAACATTGTGTCCCTCGTGGCGGCCACACCCACTGTTTTGTCGCATAGTCCCAGCGAACCGGTGGCGCCCCTCGAGGTCTGGTCGTGTGCTCCCGCCCTGGGGCCAGGCTGTCATTCAAAATCCCACGTTGTCTCCCGATCTGCTTTGCGACCGTTGACGCGGAGTCCACTTTTGAGGTTTCTATTTGTCGTCGCTTTCAACTTTGCTCACGCCCTGTTGACAACATCGCACGTCAAATGCCAATCTCAATAAGGCGTGTTAAGCAGACTGGTTTCATCATCTCTTTCCTGACTCTCCCCCAATGGCAGGGCCTCTTCAGATCGGGGACATTGTTAATCTGAGTAAAGTTTGTTGGGACGTCTACAGATTTGGATGGGATAACGACTACAACGCAAGTATGTTCCTCGATCCATTTTTCGTCGATACTCTTTCGCGCATGTCCTGCTCTTGTCCGTAACTGTATGTTCGCCATTCGCCAGGATTGTTTCGGGTACATCAACCTCAGAATAAGCCTACTAATGGCTGATCGGCCTGTGCTTCATTTGATCGAGAGCGCCATCTCAGCCCTCCGCCCGGCAAGCGTGGCCGTAGGGCTGACTTGAGGCTCTAAGATTCCAAAACTTCAGACGGCGACACAAGCTAACTGCATCCCAGCCAAGCAATATGAGGAGTTCGGCCGCGACGTCAGAGGACTGGCTGAGAGCCTCGATATTCTCACCCGAGTGGTGAGCCAGGCAGAGCAGTCTCTCCGCAGAGATGTGTCGTACAAGTCTCTGCGATGGGACCCGTCGTCTCTGGGGGAGATTATCGGAGACTACCAGGGGACCCTCAGAGAATGCATCGAGTTGATCGACAACAATAATCGTTATCGCCTGAACAGTGGTCCACTCCGAAATATCGAGTGGAATGTGCTGGTTGCGCCAGCCGCGGACCGCCTACGGGCAAGAATCGCCCTGCATAACTCCAAGGTTCTTCACGTCCTGAAGCCGTTCGAAATGTGAGCTTCGCCTGTTCCCCTCTTACAATTGAAGACGCTAACGAATACAGCGATCTGCTATGTCGTGTACGAGAAGACATACACAGGGTTCACCATGATCTTGTTGATCGCATCTCAGCTGTTCACGGGGATTTGCACCGCCTGATTGGGGTCTTGGTCCCGGACCTGCAGGTGGCTCTAGACCAGCAAGCCCAACAACAGGAGCAAAGTATTGACGTCCCAATATTGGTAAAAGATGGGCTGCTCAAGGCTTGGGAGAGTCGGTCCCCAGACGAGCCGGCCCCAGGCCTGAAAGAGATCACGGACGCTTTTGTCGTTCATTTCGACCGTTCTACCGTTAACTTCACGCCGGCTGGTATTCTGGTTGAGAACAAAATCCCACGCCTGGAACAGTACCTGAGCCTTTTGAAGTGCGTATGGTTGAAGGAGCGGATTGACGAGTCGCCTGAGCTCAAACAGGCCGTACCTGGGGTATCGCATTGGCCATCATATGTCCAAGAACTCGAGGACGTGAGTTGAGAAATCCCAGGATTATTGGTAGGAGGCGCTAACAGACGCAGTGTCTTTCAACGCAATGCGGCCGGTTTAAACAAGATTTGGTCAAGCCAAGCCTTGCGGGTTTGACATCTGACATGCTCGATATCTGGCCTGAGAAGGAACTGCCTCAGCTTGTTGATGTGGTGACAAAGGATGCCCTGATGGAACAAGTCCTTGACATGTAAGGCCTGAACCAAACATGGCACTCATTCTGGATGCAACTAACTTGATGGAAAGTCCACTCCAAGGTTCCGGTGCCAATGTCCAGAGACGACTTCAGCTTCTTCGCAGAATGGGCGCAGACTGGAGACGATTCAGGATCAATATCACTGGCGTGGAGCAGGGAGCCGTAAGAAGCGCACGCCGTCAAGGTATGTAAACCTGGCTGAGTAGACCAGGATAATCGCTTACAGTTGCAGCCGAGACAATTGATTTCGATATCACATCCGTCATCCTCAACCCGCTGTATGCAAACCCATCTAGTTCTGGCGTGCTGGAGATGATTCTTCGCAAAGACGAACGGATCGCGAGGCTATCATTCATGGGACGCAAAGATATCATCAAGTTTCAGCAGGCAGTGACGGGATTCAAGGCCTTTGACAACTACTGCCAGTACAATACCATGGTCAGCTTTGTCGTCTCCGGTAGAGATGAACCGCTAGTCGAAGACGCCTGTGTCCAGTTTTGGATTCCAAAGCAGCTTGATGGCCAGCTAGTGACCAACAATGAGGCAACAGTGAAGGAAAACGCGAGGTCAGGTTCGATGTCGCCTACCGCCCATGTTGCGACATCGAGACAGAGTACCATGCGAAGCATGTTGAGCTCCTCGAACGTGTTCACCACGAGCCCCACCGAAACAGTCTCCTTGTGGAATACGTCTGGGCTCGCAGCCCCGTCTCTGTCGCGAAGCCCACCGAGACTTTCACCAGTCAACGGCATGAGCCCCTTTGGTGGTCGGCCACCTATATCTATACCACGCCGCCCAGTTGGAGGCGGATCCAACTCGAGGAGACCGGCTGCAAGCCCAACGGCACCGTCAGCAGCATCGCCGTCGAGCCCGCCTTCCTCCAGCTTCTTTCCTAGATCATGGTCTTCCGCGATCGCACCGTCAGTTTCGACAGTGAATAGCCGGCAAGACCGAACTTTCAGCTTGTCAAGCAATGTTTCAACTACGACCTCGCCATCGAACAACAGCTCAGGCAATAGCGAGACGCATACCGTTACCGTAAGTATCGGCGGGCACACAACTGGAACCGTTCACAGGCGGCCACCGAAGCCGATGATCGTCCTCTTTACCCAAAACCGCAAGACCAAGAGGCTTGCGCTGGTGACGGTCGACATTGACGAAGACACTGAAGTCAATCCCGACCGATGTAACTGTCGGAGGTCGGGAAATGATGGAGCATCGTGCACAATAGCCGCTATGGAACAAAAGAGGGGCACACTGAACCTCGTAGCCCGACGATTCGAGAGCCGCGACGGTGATGTCGACTGGAACCTGGCCAAGCTGGCACTTGGCCGTCAAGGGGAGAGAGAATATACTGGTGCGGTTTGGAAAGACGTTCGGCGTATCAGCATAATGTTTCCCACGCCGAAAGACCGAGAAACTTTTGGAGGAACTCCTAATCTGTGTCAATGCGCGTCGAGGACGGAGGCTGAGCTGGCCAACTGTCTGAAGGAACGGCGGCATAAGGGGCAGCTGGGTCTTGTTCGGGAATTTGGGCGGCAACAGCTGAACGAGTACCATCGAGAAAGGTTCGGATCGCAGCAGGACGTGGTTAGAGGGATGAGGGACGACATTCGGTAATTCGATAATGGCAACCGTGACTGCTGGTACTGAATGACTCTAAGACATTGGCTGGATACGGCTGTGTGTTTATGACTACAGACGCTAATGAAGGAGTTTAGAGGGAGTTGATCAAAGACACGGCCTTGGATGGGTTCTTCGACGAAAAGATACTTAGATTATGGTGCAGGTGTAGGAGGTGAGGAAACGGGCGGAAGGCTCTTCATTCGCGAGATGACCCAGGAATGGCGAATCCACTGTTTCGATGTTGCCTGCGACATGCGGTCAGAGGACTGTAATGATACATAAGCTACTTCAGACAACCTGAGATGAGTTAGCTCGACAGCAATATGAAAGTCTGTGACAGTGACTGTGTTGTAAACGGCGAAACCGCGGAATTCCCGCGGCATCGGAGATAAGAAGTAAGAAGATCATGGCCCGCCCACGCCGACAAACATCAATGACGTTGTCCCGGTGAGTCCCTCGACGGTCAGAATTGCTTTCTGTCGGAGACCGCCGACAACAGACAGAGCATGAGTGACGGGAAATGGACGAACCCCAACACTCCCGTCCGCCCTGCCGCGCCGAACAACATCTCCGAGTCTCGGCAAGCATATGGACCAATGGGACGGGGTCTTCGGCAGCGCCTCTATCTCCTAGGATCCCTTCTTGACTCGTTTGGGACGATTCCTTATCTCTGCGCAGCGTTGACATGCATCTTCTGGGTGGCTCTAGACCCTGGATTGTCTTATCTCTCGGATCGGATCGGCTAATGACTGCTAAGGCTTGGGATTGCTTCCATCACCTGTCGCGGTGGAAAACATCTGCCCACGATCTTTCGGCGTTCGCGATGGCAGTCGCAAGCAGTATCAGATGAGCCAAAGCCAGAAGGTCTGGGAGAGATGAGGCGAGCTTGAAGGCCAGCTTTAGAAAGCATTCTCTCTCATGTTCAGTGGTCGGCATTGGAGATGGCGAGGGTCTTATCAGGAGCTATCGACTTAAATCTCCCAGTGGCATGATGGATCATTCCAAACCAACGTGCGCAGTTTTCTCAACGCTCACGCATATTTTATCTCACTCCAGCTGAAGGTCGTCGCCGGCGGCCATCTCGGAGAAGCTGATGCCGTTTCGAAGCAACAGAGTTTGGCCGGTGAGATGGACGCAGTTCTGCTGTCCAGGGGCATCCGAGACACTGCACTGACTTACAGAGCCCTAGCAAGCCCCCGTCGGCCGCTACAACTGCAGTCAGTTGCTCCAACAAGTGTCTCCCGCACTTCGCAGGTCGCCGCATCTCCAAGCACTCGGTCCGCGTAGCCAGGCAGGACGCGCCCGAGAGGGAGGACGAGGAACACGGCGGCAGTCTCCTGGAGTGCCACGCGGGAACGATGCCGGGGAGTTCCCCCACACTCTGCGAGCCTCTGCTATGCAGTAGTTCCTCAGCTGCGGCCAGGGATCAGTGGTGTTTTTTTTTGGGGGGGGGATGTAGTTGCATGGTTGATGACGGAGCGGACTTCCATGCGACAATGAGGACCCAAGTCCACAGAGGCCAACAAGCATGTACATCGGATGTTCCATCTCATCTACAATCAACTCGGCCGTGAATTGCCATGAACCTCATGTATTCCCAGAACTCCTTCTCTCTTCCTCGCCACCCCCAGCTGCAGAACCAAGAGCTCGGTCATTCACAACCCACGCTCTCTTCCGCATCTCACCTCACATGGATCCGGACGGGGTTGACAAGGGAGAGCTGCCGACCGCGTCTTGTCTCCGGGGGACTGCTCTCAGCTAACGCTAGAAACGGGCCCGCCCTTCTGGGTACACAATTCTTTTACTATCGCCAGCCATTCATATCGTCCCGCGCGGCTTATCCCACTGATAGCAGTTGAAGCTAATTGCTCGAAACCATCAACTAAAAGGATCGCCCCCATGCAGATTGCAGACTGCCTGACGGTACCGTACCACTCACCTCACTCAGGGTGACTGACTGAGTCGGATTTTGATATACATATAAAGTGAGATCCACATCTTGCTCTGTGTCATTGCTCGTGGATATCGTCGAGGGGTTTTTCCCACACCAGCCTTTTTTCCACAGTCCAAGCCAATCTCGAGGTTTTGGTTCATTGACACCACCTCAAGATCGACTTGTCCTCGTTCTGCTTATCGACTTCGGCGACAGGCCCCAAAAACGACGGCAAGATGGATGAAGATCAAGGTCCATCTCAAATCGTCCCCGAGGCGTCACCCAAACGCACAGTAGGAGATCGTCTGCGCGGCGCCAAGAACAGATTCTTCACGAAGCAAGGCCTCATTGGCGACTACGACTATGCGTTCCTCTTCCGCCCGAACCTGCCCTTCATGAGACGGTCGCGCCAGTCCGCACCCTTTTTCGGCCTCCACGACAACATGCCCACGCTCTTGGCCATTCTCCTAGGCTTTCAGCATGCCCTGGCCATGTTGGCTGGCATCATCACGCCGCCCATTCTACTCAGCGGTGCTTCTGGTGCCAACCTGTCGGGAGAGATGCAACAATATCTGGTTTCGACTGCATTAATCGTCTCTGGAATCCTCTCCGCGATCCAGATCACCAGGTTCCGCATTTTAAAGACTCCGTAAGAGGACCGAGTTCCCATTCTGTGAATGTACCGTCCACTTATACGATTTAGCTACTATATCGGAACCGGCCTTCTCTCTGTTATGGGAATCTCGTTTGCTATTATTCCTGTTGCGCAGGGTGCTCTCACCCAGATGTATGCCAACGGCTTCTGCCCTACCGACGCTGATGGCAATAAGCTCCCGTGCCCCGATGGATACGGAGGTGAGTCTGTTCACCAGAGTGCTGCATGCACTCAAACGCTGACTTGAGTGTGAAGCCATCATCGGTTCCAGTGCTCTCTGTGCCCTCATCGAAATCTTGATTTCCTTCATGCCATCCAAGGTGATGCTTCGCATCTTCCCTCCCATAGTCACTGGCCCCACTGGTAGGTTCAAAACTCCAAGCGCCGTTGAGACCCAAGCCTGACTGTTTTTTAGTCATGCTCATCGGTATTCACCTCGTCGAAAGCGGTTTCCAGAACTGGATGGGAGGCTCAGGGCCTTGCGCCAGTCCGTCGACCGCGTCTGCGTTCTTCGCAAAGTGCCCCAACATCTCGGCGCCGCATGCGCTGCCCTGGGGCTCCGCCGAGTACCTCGGGTTGGGCTTCTCTGTGTTCCTCACGATTATTCTCTGTGAGAGATTCGGTGCCCCTATCATGAAGTCCACTTCGGTTATTATTGGTCTCCTTGTTGGTGAGTTGTCAGATCCAAATCATGGCCCAATCCGTCACTAAACCCCTACCAGGATGCATCATTGCAGCTGCGACAGGATACTTTGACCGATCTGGCATCGACAGCGCCCCTGCCGCCTCCTTCATCTGGGTTCACACCTTCAAGCTGAGCCTGTATGGGCCTCTTATACTGTGAGCACCCATCTTCTCATTTAGCCCCTGGAAGCCCTAGCTTACCATCTTCCAGACCTCTCCTTGCGGTTTACATCATCTGCGCCTGTGAAGCCATCGGAGATATTACAGCCACTTGCGATGTCTCGAGACTAGAAGTTGAGGGCCGTCTCTTCGAATCCCGAATCCAGGGTGGTGTTTTGGCCGACGGCATCAACGGAGTCCTCGCTGGTTTGATGACCATCACCCCTATGACCACCGTGAGCCTCCCCCCCTTCCTCCACCTCTCTCTCAAAACAAAGGTAAATAACTTACCAATGAGCCAGTTCGCCCAAAACAACGGTGTCATCGCCCTCACCCGCTGCGCCAACCGTAGCGCAGGATATTGCTGTTGTATAACGCTCATCATCATGGGTATCTTCGCCAAATTCGCCGCCTCTCTCGTCGCCATCCCCTCCTCTGTCCTGGGCGGCATGACCACCTTCCTCTTCACCGCCGTGGCCGTCTCCGGAATGGCGATCATCACAAAGGGCGTTCCTTTCAACCGCCGCAACCGCTTCATCCTGACCGCCGGCCTGACCCTCGGCTACGGCGCCACCCTCGTCCCGACCTACTTTGACAACGTCTTCACCTACGCCGGCGACAACCGCGGTCTGCGCGGCTTCCTCGATGCCATCGTCCTCATCATGGAGACCGGCTTCGCCATCACCGCATTTGTCTGCATGTTCCTCAACTTTGTGCTCGAGGAGGAGATCGAGGACACCGAGGGCCGGGACGTGCCGCCTGCCGGCAGCGCTGTGGCTCCCAAGGACGTCAACGGAGGCGACAGCGCGCGTGGAGCTGACTCCGAGGACATCCAGCCTGTTGGTCACAGCGCTGCGGGCAAGGGAGAAGAAAAGTTGGCGTAGTGTGGCTAAGCCTGTCGCTGCTACGAGCCAGACGGTTGTGGTGGTTGAAAAGGTTGTGTTGAAATCGTCTGGATTGTGTTTTATAGACGAATACCCTTATGTCAATGAATTGGATTTGGAACAAAACTTAGTCCTTGCGGGATTTGGTTCCAACAGATTACACCCCTGAGATTGTGGCACAAGTTGCTTGACCCAAGTTCGTCTTGTTCTGACCTGCGCCAGCTACGCGCTTCTTTCCCTGTCCATGATTGCAAAGGCCCAGATGTGTGCCCATCAGCATGTGACATGTCTGCCATCACTTCCGCAAGATGCCATATTTCTCCTCACATGCTGGATATGTTAACGCCAGCAGACCCGTTCATGGATGTACACCGATTGGAGAGATTGGCAAATTTAGATCGCGGTAATCAATGCGCTGATATTGACTCGGCCCGCGCGCCATGATTATGGACGAGCAGCATCTCTGGATCGTGTCGAGAAATGCCGGCCCGAATATGAACTAACTAAGGCTGCAAATGCACCGCTGAATCCGTGACGCCAAACGTAGCCATTTTTTTGGTATCAGACCACCCGGTCCAGCTTGAAATCAAGAAACGTCTTGTAAAAGATTCTTCCATACAAATATTACACAAATTCACGACTCCGACGAGCAAGAACGCGCACGTTGTCGATGAAACCCTCCACCAATTGCGGGTATGAATGAGGCTCGTTCTTCATAACACGGCGCTGTTGATCAATGACAATATCCGGGGATAGTTCGATTTCGAGTTCGTGTTCCCTATCGGTCTTTTGGGTGTTCTATGACAAGGTTAGCATCGCGTGCGGCGTCGACTGTTTTCTGAGCCACTTACCCCAGGACCGGGCGTCATCTGCGTCACTTGCGTCAGGTCGACCTGATAGTGATTTTGCTTGTAGCTGAGGCGATCCTTATTACGATCAGGGAACTTCTGCTCGTGGCTGACGGCTAGGCGTTCCAACTCCTCAGCCGGGCCATCCCAAGGCATTTCCAGGTTGATGCTGATGCGGCAGTCCAGAGGACACGTGGGCAGGTGTAGGTGAAGGTCAGCCACACGAGCCTTGACAATCTTGGCCAGCACTTCCTTCGTCTTCATATCGTACGTAATGCGAGCCTTGATCGGTCTTCTAGGCGGAAGTAGGGCGCGAATGCACGTAGGCAGACGGGAGTGCATCGAGTTAGGTAGCTCGATAAACTTGTCCGTCTCCCGTCGATGTTTGTACTGGATTTGTACCCGGCCGCGAGCGCTGGGATCGGGGTTTCGCGGGTCCGTCTGGACGACAAGAGTATTGAGGAAATCGTTCAGTCCTTTGTGTTGGGCCTGGAGGGAGAAAAGTTAGCCTCAGTCATTTTTGCTGGCGCAATGCAACGTACCGCAGTCATGCTGCTTTTGAAGGCCAGACGGCCAGTGTCGTGGAGAATGCATTCAGAGCCAATGAATTTTTCAACGCGCTCGTTCGTGTCTCTGTCGATGAGCAGACCCATCTTGGCCTCAATCTCGAACTGTACGCCGCGACCAATGATGTCGCCCGAGTCAGGGTGAAGCGAAATGTTCTTAAACAAAAAGTCTGCAACCTGCTTGGACAATTCCTCGTATGGGCGGGTTCCCAGAATGCTCTCCTCCCATGCGCCTAGATGGTGTTGAGGCTTGGGCTCCTGCACCGCCGGTGGCGGAACAGACCGTGCAGCCTCTGGCGAAGTATGGCGACTGGAGTTGCTGGCCGGTTTATTCTCGTGCTTTCCGTTGATGTGAGGTGGCCCTCGTTTTAGCAGCTCAAAATTTGCCTGCTTCAGTCTCTTGTTTTCTCGGGAATTCCAGGTTTGCGCCCAAACGGGAGTTGCTGTGTGTATTGTCTTTTTCCGCTGAACCACGGGCGAGCGAGCAATTGTTGGCCCTCCATTGACCTCAGCAGGTGGTGGCCGGGGCTCTTTCCTCTCGAGTTCTCGAGGGCTCAGATCTCGGTCGGCGAGCTTTCTTTTCGCAGGCGTCGCGGCGCGTTCGCGTTCGGGTTCCACCATATTGACGACACTCGGTTGTGGTCGCGCTTCGGGTTCGGTGTGGCCACCAACGCTGCTCGGCAAACTCGGAACCCTGGTCTTGGGGCTAACGCTAACGCTTCTGTCGCGTTCGCTGTGCACGCTATGCGACAATGACCTTCGTTCTTGGGCGCCTTGGGAATTGGGCATGCGAGGTGGTGGAGGTGGTGGTGTGGCTTGGGATAGGTGCGAGGCGGACAGTCTTTGTTGATAGGGACTTTGTGGTTGCGCAAAGCTCGGTGCAGAGGAAGATTGTCGAGGCCCGGTCTGGGGCGGGCCCAGTGGGGTAGGAGGTTGCGAGTGCTGGCGGTTGTACTCGGGCGGCGGGTGCGCCGTCGCAACAGGGCTGCCGTGAGGATACGCTTGACCGTGAAGTTGCGGGTGCTGCTGGCTGTGTGCAGAGGTAGGAGTTGGGGTGGAATGTGTCGATTGTGAGCGTTGGTGAATATACGGGTTGGCGCCACCGGGGGTGCCGATGGGCGGCGTCTGCGGCATGTGCTGCTGCGGCTGCGGCTGCGGCTGCTGCTGTTGCGGATGCGGCTGTTGCTGTGCAAGCTGTTGTTGCTGCTGCTGCTGCTGCTGAAGCTGAAGCTGCTGAGGATGGGGTGGATAAGAAGACGGTGTTGCACCAGCAGGATGGGAATAGCTGTCTCTCGGGGGATACGCGTTGGATGGCGGGTATTGGTGACGTTGTACAGGGCTGGCAACCTCTTGAGGCGGTCCGGTCGGAGGAAAGGGATAGCCACCAGCAGGCCCGCTCACCGAAGACGTCGGAGTGTGACGATACGGGGACGGGGCGGGCATGGAGGCGCTCTGAGGAGATCGCACATCGGTATACGGACCGGGAGTACCTGCCTGCAGCGGTGGCGGCGCCGGGCGGCCGGGATAGGGGCCCGGAGTTTGATAAGGCGACTGAGGAGGATAAGGCGGGTTCGAGGCCTGCGGGTGGACAGCATACTCCTGAGGCGCCGGAGGCTTGCCTGGAGAAGAGTGCAAAGCATGGCTGTATGCAGACTCCCTAAACGCATACGCGGTGGCTGCCTGAGAAGGTGTCGTCGGAGTCTGCTGCTGGGGGTGATGCTGTGGGTGCTGAGGATGCTGCTGCGGGTGCTGCTGAGGGTGTTGCTGAGGGTGTTGCTGCGGGTGCTGTTGAGGGTGTTGAGGATGTTGCGGATGCTGCTGCTGGGGATGCTGCTGAGGAGGATACTGCTGCTGCTTCGGCGCAAGCTGCTGGGGAGGAGCAGGAGGGGCAGCAGCAGCAGGGGCCGCTCTCGAGCGGTCGGCGTCATCAGCCGTGTTCATCAAGGCCCTGAGATCCATAGTGAAAGGCGTAGACGGGCAAATGGGGCCAGTATCCCTTGGTGTTGTGGTGTTTTGTCCAGTCCAACGCTCCGGCCTGCTTCGGCTGGGATGCGCAAAGTTTCAGCTTCGCCCTTTCAATACCAACAGCTCATATGCGCGGCGTGCGAGATATGCGATGGGGTATCGGTCGTGAGCGATGGTCGCGACGCAGGTTTGAAGCGTCGACGCGATTCTATTGGTACAAGAAGGATCGGCAGCAGTTGAGCATCACGTCGGCATGATCAGACGGCAGAGATAATTGCGGTCGGGGTCGCAGGCGTTGATGTCGGCGTCGGCGTCGCTGTTGGGGATCGGGGTCGAGACGGGATCGACCAGATGGGACTAGATTGGATCGGATCGGATTGGACAGCACAGAAGCCAGGACCAAGCAGAATCGGATGCGCGGCGAGGCGAGGGCAAGTCGGATTGGAGCAAAGAGTTCGAGGGGCGATGCGAAATGGAGGGCGGCGGGCGACAAGCTAAAGAAAACGGCGAGGGACGAAACGACACGGTTCACAGGGTCGGAGAGGGAGGGGTCGGGATCGAGCTCGTTTGTTTCGTTTGTTCGTTGGGTGGACGGAACGGGATGAGATGGAGATGCGGGTGTGGATGCGGATGCGGATTGCGAGTTGTGGATTGGAGTCGTCGCGAGCTGGGCGTCGTAATCTCTCTGGTGCGCGATCTCCCCTCTCTTTCTTTCTTTCTTTCTCTCTCTCTCTCTCTCTCTCTCTCTCTCTCTCCTTCTATGCGTGGTGTGCGTCCTCAATGCGGCATCCGTTCGGGGCTGACGGGTTGAGCAGCGCGAGGGAAGCGTGCGATGGTGATGCGATGCGGTCGGCGCGTGGGCTTTCGGAGCGGGGAGTGAGGTGGAGGGCGAAGAGTAACGGGCGTCGGTGGGAGATTTCTCTCGTGAGGTCCCTATCGGCGTCGGGTTGGGTTGGGGCGAATGGTGTTGGTGGTTGTTGGTGAGGTAGGTAGGTACCTTGGGGTTGGTTGGTTGGGTGAGGTAAGGCAGGTAAGGTAAGGTAGCAAGCAGGTCGAGATATCTCGGGCGCTAGGAAGAAAACATCTTGTCCTCTGTTGCAGCTGCGTGGGAAATTTGGAGACAAAAAGAAAGGATGGAAATGGATTGGTCGCGCGCCGATCGCAGCAGGGTTTCCGTCTTTCGCGGCTTCTCAGTCATACCTTACCTTACCTACCTTAGGTAGAAGTCCTCAATCTCAGGTCACGTCGGCGCCCACCGTGCTCTCGTTCTCTCACTGTAGGTATCCATCCGTAAGTAGTCACAGCGAGCTCAGCGAGTGAGGTGCTAATAAGGCTGCCTAGGTATCTTACTTTTCAAGACCGGGCACGCTAAAGGTACTTTGGGAGCGCTGGCGCAAAGTACCTTCCTTACCTTACTAGGAACTTTGAAGCTCCCTTTGAGGATGCAGAGAGCACGAGGTCCTGCTCGTTGCAGATGACGGCTGGGTGATTTGGCTTTGCATGATGTTTAGGCAGATGCTATTTGCTTGAGGGGCTTAACACAGAGCTTCTTCAAGCTTCTTCTGTTGAGGTATTTCATCCACTGTAACCTGGGCAGTAACCCATAAGTGCCTTAGGTAAGGTAGGCAAGTATCTTGGAGGCTGGCACAGAGCTCCTCCAGTGGGCTGCACAGCCTTGTCTCGTTTCGCAGCTTCATGAACATGTCCATGTCCTGTGCCACGGTGTGTTGCTCGAGCCCGGCCTGTCGGGGATTTTTATTTTTTTATTTTCTCTCTCCCCTGTCTCTCCTTCGGCCAGCTCCACGTTTTTGGTGTTGAGAGTGGAGGGTTGTGAGATTGAGGCACGCGCTCTCGACGGGAGAAGGGCGCCTGTCTGTATTGAGAATGTACTGCCACTTACAATGTACCGCCAAAAGATACTTACATGTACTAATCGGGGCTGTGCTGGACGTGTGTGGGTCGCGTCGATGGCGCCAGACACTCACTCACGCTGGAACTGCAACTGGAACTGAGGGTCTGATCGTGTCTTCCACTTTTCTGCCCCCTTCCAGTGTCACAATCAAATCGCGTCGTCATTCACCCAGGCTTTTCTGACTTCTGACAGCCAGCTCCAGCCAGGGTTGGCGAACCTGTTTCCCTTCTGGACCGCCTCATCCTCAGGGGTAGCATTGGCCTTCCGTCTTCACTGCGAATGACTACCTACCTATTCATGCGAATAGGCACACTGCACGGTTATTGAACCGCGATGCGAATGGCTTCCCTCCTATTACCTTACTGAAGTTACCGATGCTCGTACAAAGTACAGCCAACGTCAATCATCACCCAGCCTCCTCGGACCTCACGAGCACTATATCCTTGCATCTCAACTGCCGTCCACCCCAATGCACCCTCACCCTATCTTACCTTGGCCGAGATACGACGCTGATCCTGATGGGATGGATGCCCCAAGTGTCAATGTTCATATTGAAAGCTGCACGTCCATTGCACTTCTGCGCGTCAGCCTCGTCAATCTGACGCCTGGCGCGTCGAAACTGAGCGGTCCTTCGTACGTATTGCCCTCTCGTCTCACGCGTTTTCAAAACCTCTGGTATTATGCATTATTCATCATGACTTTCATTGAGCTCGCAGAGTTGTTCTCTGTTCCTCACAGGCTTGACTTTGCCGCCGCTGCCGCTGCCTCAGCCTTCTGTTGTCGAATGGCCGTACTGCTGATCTTATTGGTAAAGTCGTCCGTTTTGGCCGTCTCGTCGCCAAGATCCCGCGCGTCGAGCACGTCGACTTCGTATGTTTCCAACGGCTTCATCCCGAGACCAACCCGCTTGTCGTTGACTGCCTTGCCGCCTGATCGCGTCTCTCCAGAGACCACGAGTGCTTCAATCTCCGCCATGGAGACCGTTGGGCCATAGACATTCTGAAATTCAACGCACTCGACGACAATCGTGCCGTTGCGGAACTTTGCCTCCAGATGGCCAGGCGCAGTTTCCACTGTCGGTACCGGACCAGACCTCTTCTTCCAACCGCTCTTGTCCAGCTCGAGAAGAGAGGCCAGGAAGTCAAGAGTATACCTGGCACGGTCATCCCAGGTCTGCACCAGCTCGCCGTATTTCTTGTTCTTGAGCATTTCATCGCCCGTGATGCCCAGCACAAGCTTGCAACTGGATGCCGAGTCTTTGTCGGGAACCCTGAGCAGGAGAACTGCGGCCATGAGCATCAGCTTGTGACCTGGATGTAGATGGTCAAATGTGCCGCCTAGGCAGACCACTGGATACAGAGGAGATGCTTCCGTGTTGCCGGCTCCCTCGCCTTCAACGTTCATGCTAAGACCAGCCTCAACAACAACTAGTTGAGACTGGAGGATGGTCTGTCTCCCTTCGGCAAATTTGAGATATGTTGACAGCGTACGGTATCCGTGCTCGCTATTCACATGAAATATGTAGCTCCAGGGGTGGTAAGCAGATGCGAAGGTTGGAAGGTCGACCACAGTCGTGTTGTTGGGCTCGATGGCGGCCACAAAGTCTGGTGCAAACCGCCTATTGGCGTCATGGTCGACCAGAACAATTCGCGCATCGATAGAGCCCGGTCCTCCATTGACGTCCGTGGCAATGGACTGCTCGGCACAAACGACAGCAATGAGGCTGTAGATACCGGCCACCAGAGACTGTGCGGCGGCCCATGACAACGATTTCGTTTTCGGTGATGCACCGCGCAAGACGGGACAGACCACAGCCACAATCAGCGTAGCTGACCGGGCCGGGTGCTTGATTTTGGAGAAGACGGCTTGTAATGAGGGCCGGTAGGCGGCATTGAGTGATGCGCGGGATGGCGGCCGGGGTGGGACTGGCAGGAGCAGAAGACTCGGATTCTGTTCTGAGCTCATACTGTAAAACTCTCGTAGCAGAAAGCGCAATCAGGTGTTGGCTGGAGGCGTATGATCAGAAACGCAAAGAAGCACTCTGAATTCGAGATCACTGGTGTCGAGGCTGAACGCGTAGAACTCAGGTGAGCTGGACTGAGTGTTCCTCGGTCAGTGGAAGCGGGGAGCTTGAGTCCCGGCCACATTGGCGGGGTGTGCCGCAGCAAATAAGGTCACTCACTGCACCGCCGTGTAGTCTCTTGCAATGTGTGCAGAGCTCCAGGGTAGGTACGCATAAGGTACTTACTTACATACAAACTCTGTGTTGTAAGCGTAGAACTCAGTACTTTAAGTGCATATGCTAGCTGATATCGCAGATAACCGACTTTCGGGGCTCAAAAAGATCTGACTGCAGCTGCTTACCTCATCAGGGCCAGTTGAGAAATCCGGGTGCAGCTGTCACAGCTTTGGGAATGCTGACTCATCCAAGAACTGGTCCGTGCTTGTTGCTGTTTGCTGCCATTGGCGCTGCCGACTGGTGCTGCAAGGGTCAGAGAGACGGCTCTGGGGCAAGGCGAGGCAGGCAGACCTGCCTGACGTGGATGCCGGCTGGCTGCGTTCGCGCATTGCTTTCGACGTCCTTCTTTCCATCACCAAACCGTCTCCCTGGAGCTGCCATCACCACCACTCCAATAATCATCCAACCTACTCAATTCAGTCCGACTGACTGCTTATTGAAGAACCGACCGAACGTCTACGATAAACCCTATCGGTCGCACATCTTCCCGCCGCAGCTTAGCTCGAGCTCCGTCCCCGAGGCCAACATCCAAAATGCCTGGCCTGGTATCAGCTACCGGAGTGCTGGGCTTCCTGGCCGACGAGGAGCACGACCTCAAGGTCTTCGCCCTCCAGACTCTCAATGATGATATTGACACCGTCTGGACTGAGGTTGCCGGCGCTCTGAGTCAGATGTAAGCCCGCCTTCCATTGTTTTGCCGCGGGGCTGTTCACCAAAATGCTAATCATCCCTCCAGCGAGGCTCTCTACGAAGATGACACCTTCCCCCAACGGCAGCTCGCTGCTCTTGTTCTCGCCAAGGTTTACTACCATCTCCAGGCTTACAATGAGAGCATGACTTTCG